CTCGGATACCTCTGAACCTTTTGAGTAATAAGCTTTCATTTGATGTGTGTAAATGACACACCGGTACAATCAGAAAACAAGTAGGTTGATCTGCACAAGCAATTTCTGAGCTTTAACAGGGACACAGAGCACCTTGATGACTGTCCAGTGACACTCACACAGGAGTATTTTATTTAATGATGTATTTTGCGCATTGGGAATTAGCTTTCTCTATGCTTACTGCCTGGTCAGAAGTGACACAAGGAAATCGAATTAGTCTCCAGTCTAGCCAGCACTTCTTCTGCAGAAATGAAATGGAAAAAACTAAAAACTGTGGATTCAGGCCTCTAAGCAGGATACCTGACCAGCTCCACTGGCTTCCTGTGCACATACAAAGGCCCATGTACCCATGCACATCCATGTGCACACAAACACACACGCACATACATAAGCATACACAAACAGGAGCCCAGTTACAACAGAAAACTCCAGCTAGGTAGGCCAGTCATCATCTCAGGACCTCATATCTGGTGCATGGGCGCATGCGTGTGCAGGTTCAAGTCCACATTCACATGCCTGCCGAAGCCAGAGGACGATGCCAGGTATCCTGATCTGTGATGATACTGGATTGGTAAATAATCCTAGTCCTGCCTCCCAAGCTACCTTGCTGTCCTCCCACTCTGCCTGCCATTCTAGACATTCAAGTCACCTCTTTGAGTCAAGTTCTGGGATGATGAAGTGGAGTTATGTTAACATACAGGTTCAGAAACATTACTCCCGGAAACTGCATGGCATCATATAATATTTGTGTGATGGGGCGGGAGGGGGGGAGGGAAGCACAAAAAAATGTTAGTTTTCTGTAAAATAAAAGGAGAAAAACCAGAGTTGACAAAGCAATGTCCCACTTTCTTTGGCTGCTTTTAAGGAGCCCCCATTGTTGGGTGTCTACTTTTTCCTTTCTCAGAGGAGTACTGTACCAGGCAGTTGTGAGCCACCATGTGGGTGCTGGCATTTGAACCTGGGTGCTTTGGAAGAGCAGCCCGGCCTTATCACCACTGATCCATCTCTCCCCCTAGGAGTACTATAGCAAAAGAGCCCATTCAGAAAGCACTAGTGAAGTCAATAGCTGTAGGAGATGGACGTCCGAAGTTTCTGGAACATGGTTTTATGAAATGTGAAGTAATGACAAGGAGTGAAAAGGGTGCAAACCCCTCAGGTGTCACATCAGTACCTGGGAGAAAAATGCTAGTGCCCTGGGCAGTCAGAGAAGCGGCCTTGGTTGTGGGGCTTTGTGGAGAATAGCCCACCCACAAGTTAAGCATCCCCAAAGGTAAACGGCACAAAGGGAAGCTGCAGTCCACATCCTGAACACGATCATTTGGTTTAGAAAATTCAGAGACAGTCATTCATTAAACCCTTAGGTGTGGCCTGCAAACAGTTAAGACCGGAACTTTAACATCTCAACAGCATTTCTGAACATACTCCCACAAGGTGGAGAAACCCTTTACTGCACTGAAGTCCAAGCTCCAAGACAATGTAAGAAGTGGTAGCAGGTACAGGCGGTCATTGCTGCCATCATGAGCTGATAGGGAGCATGCTCTATCATGCTATTGGGTTAAAGGGCAAGGCAAAATGAGTCAGCACTTTTCTGGAGAAAAAAAAATTGTAAAAACCCAAAATGGCTTTCTCTCATGCAGAGAGGCAACACACGGACACCCTTTGAATGGAGAGAGTGATGGCCCGCCCAGCTTGGCTTGTTTGACTTGAGAGTAATATTCTCTATAATTATGTGCCAAAATCTTGCTGTTGTTCAGCTTTCCACTTTTTTCAAACCCCTCCAGAAGTGTAAATTTTCATTCATTCATTTACAAGGTGTGTGTGCGCGTGCGCGCGCATGCGTGTGTGAGAGAATGTGTGCACGCATGTGTGAGTGAGCTCTGGTGCTCATGTGGAGGTCGGAGGACAACTTGTGAGTGTCAGATTGCTGTGCTGTGTTACCCACCAAGCCGTCTCACTGTCCCTGTGAGCCCAAATACTTAATTCCCTTCTTCTGCTTCATCTGAGTTCCCTCATGTGAGTGGCAGCTGAGAGGAGTCAAGTTTTCCAGGTTTCTTGCGTCTCAAAGACAGCTGAATGCCGCAAACAAAGAGTAGGGACAGCAGCGTGTCCCCAACCTCGTCACCACCTCTGCTTTAATGAGGGTGCACTGTTCCCATCTGGAGAAGCACGTCAGGAAAAGATCCGGAGCCACACCGTGACTCTTTCCTTCCCATCCCTAGCCCATAGTGCAGGAGCATGGGCAGTGCAGAAAGAAGAGGTCTGCTCCACTCTCATCACCAAAGCGCAAGCCCTCGGCACCTTAGCAGCACGTTAAACAGGCACCCGCCTCTTGTACAGCATCCTGATGGATGCTGCAAACTGAGACAAACAGCTCTGCAAGTGCACAAGGCTTTGCGTCCTAAGCCAGAAGGCTTTTTAACAGTTCTATAAGAGGATGGTATTGCAGAACACTCTCTGGGCATGACATGGCTGGAGCGCTCTTGAATTAATAAAAGCTATGATTACTTGTACCTGACTCTGACCTGATTGAGGCTCATAGCATCCTGGCATGGGTACCAAGTGGATAGGGGATCATGAGGCCGCCAGCCCTACCTGAGGATTTATAGGAGGTTAATGGTTACTTTGGGAGGGAGAGACATTTTCTTTAGGGGTTTTATCATAGGAAGGTATCCATGCTCCTATAACTCCTCGTTCATGTTTTGTAAGCAAGCCTAGTTAAACTTGTTCACACACACACACACACACACACACACACACACGTGTGCGAAGGTAGGAGACTAGTTCAGAAGACAAAGGAGATCAGATGGAATGGGAAGGAGACAATGGGGCTTGACCATGATCAAATACATATACATTACATACATGTCATATGAAATCTCTTATTATGTACAAGCAATTATTATGCCAACAAAAAGCACTAAGAAAGTTGAAAGACAAGATACACTCTAACTATGTAAATCTTGTGAGCAAACATCCCTCGAGTCTTATTTGAGCATGCCATTTGCCCACACTTGAAAACAAACATCAGCTGTATCTTCCTCATCTTAGAATAACTTCACTCTTCAGGACCCTGCACGTGGTCTCCACTACCCTCCAGGTCAGATCCATCCATCCCTGAGCAGTCATCCCCTGTGATTCAGCCACTGTCTTCATCCGCACCACAGCCTCAGAAGCATCTTTTAGTAGAAGAAAAACTGAGCCCTTAGGAGTAAAAAGTGATCTCACTTTCAGCCTTCCCCTTTGGCAACGTTTCATGAGTTCCTTTGCACTCACAGAAGCTGTCTCTCTTCACTGGTAACTCTGTGAAGAAGCAGTGCCTCTGGGCTTCCCATAACCCGAGACAAGAATATGTATTTATTTATCCATTCACTTAAGGCTGGTTTGTGTGTGAGTGAGAGCTGGCTGGTTTGGAATCTGAGGTTGCATGGCAGGGTCGGGTCCCTGTGTTGGAGGTATCCAGCCTGCTTGGATAAGCATGCAAACCGATGAACTAAGGGTAGCAAGGTTGTCCTTATGGATTTTGAAGTTTGTACAAGAGTTCTATTTTAGAGACTATCTGTACCCAGTGTAGGGATTTCATCACTGTGCTAAGGGTGTGTTTCATTCTGTGAAGACAGTGTTGAGAATGAAGCGCTACTCAGAGGTTACTGCAGTAACACATCCTTGGGGGAAAAAGGCAAGGGTGGGTGGCTGAGTCTCAACTAACGGTGGAAACAGTACAGAAATGTGTACCTGGGAGTCAGTCATCTGACAACTGCTCCTACACAGTGAATTCTGTAGGATTGCATTTTTTTTTTTTATCTCCATGTCCTCTGGGGGTAATTAGTCACTTTGTCTTTCTGTTCTTTCTGCAGTATTTTTTAACCAATCTGTTTTAGGGAATAACTGATTTAATTTAAATGTTGCTAGCCGGGCAGTGGTGGTGCATGCCTTTAATCCCAGCACTCGGGAGGCAGAGGCAGACGGATATCTGTGAATTGGAGGCCAGCCTGGACTACAAGAGCTAGTTCCAGGACAGGAACCAAAAAGCCACGGAGAAACCCTGTCTCGAAAAATCCAAAAAAAAAAAAAAAATTAAATGTTGCTTAAGAATCTACCATTTAGCACGAGGATTAAAATGTGATTTTTGAAATTTCATCTTTTTCCTCATGTATATTAAAAAGAAATTCTGGATATGCTAAATGGTGATACAGGTTGGGCAGTTCAAAGTTAGGATCTACACACAGTGGATAAAGGGAACACTGCAATTTTTTATTATTTTAAAATAATTTAATTTACTCTTTTATAATTTCACACACACACATATATATTCTCCATTATTCCCTTCTCTTAATTCCCTCCCATTTCTTTGTTCTAACATGTCCAAGGGTACATTTATAAATGGGCTCCTAATTAAGTTTTTGTTTTGAGGCAGACTCTCTTTACATAGCCCAGGCTGTCCTAGAACTCACTCTGTAGACCAGGCTGGCCCAGAACTCAGAGAGATCCTCCTGCCTTTGCCTCATGACTGCTAGGATTGAAGGTGAGAGCCACTATGCCCATTTCTGATTAAGTTTTAAACTATTATCTGATGAGTCAAATGATTAAGATAATTTTTCACCTAGGGATATTGAAAGGGGTATTGGGGGAGAGGAGCAATTTTATTTTCTAAGATAATTTTTGGTTATGAGCCATCTCTCCAGCCCTATATAAGATAATTTTAAAAGTTAGTCCTTAAGTTGTTTTATGTCTTACTATCATTTGAAGTGAAACTAAAATCCAGCGGGTACTAGGAGTTGGCAAAATGTAGACAGACTAGTAACTCTTCAGAAAGCACAACTTAGGTTCTGTTTCTCTATGTCAGCAGCACAGACAACCTTCCCAAGTATGAGCAACTGAGTTTGTCCAGGGCCTGACCAGACACCGGCGCACTCCACCACACACCATGAGTTTCTATAGGGGTCTTGGCCTTGGCTACTTACAGAGTCTGGGTGCTGGGTGGTAGGCTGGGGATGCGGTGGAGTTCCTTGCAGGTGACTCTGAAGTCGTCCTCCTGGTGGCACTCACAGGGTGGAGACACACACCCTCTGCCCCACTGGCTCCTGGGCAGGGCGAGCAGCAGCACGAGCTGCAGCAGGTACCCTGGCCTCATTTTCCAAGGGACCCCTTGCGCTACTTCATCTTTGCGCACTGTCGCCTCATTTCTCAGTGCCCAGCGCCTGACGCTGGAGGAGAGCGGGAGCCAGAGGGACGGGAGGGAGGAGGAGGGCTCCGAGGGGCTGTGACCTCATCTCTGGAAAGCATGCTGGAGAGAGGGCAGGAGAGGCTCTCAAGTACTCCGCTTGCCTAGGCAACTCTCCATCCAAACAAGCCAGTTTGTCATGCTCGATCAGCCTCTCAGCTCCTTCTGTTCCGAGACACCCAACTTCGGTCCTGGAGCTGTACTCTCGGTCCCACCCATTAGCTTTTACTAAAGCTTCATAGACGCGCCCTCTTCTTCGCCTGTCTCCAAGCTCCTGGAGCCACCTTTCTTGGCTGAGCAGCCGTTAAGAGCGGTGGCGACCAGAGACCCACCCAAATGGGCTTCGTCTAATGTCACCCCGGAGTCGGAGACTGTTGTGGGACAATCTAGTGTCTTCACCCCCGGGAACTTTGGCTTCTCCAAATTAAAGTCACCTTTGCTGAGAACTACAGCGGACAGCACAGCCGGGGCCAGGCTCAGGGTGCAGCCGAAGGAGGATATGATACTCCGGGAGGATTCTCGATGCTGTCCCGCTGGAGCAGCCAGGGACCGTCTCGCGCCTTGGTGGCTCTCAAGCTGGAGCCACTAAAACCCGCTGTCCTGATGAGGCTCACCTAACCCGAGCTACTCCGTTAAGTCAGTCTCTGGGCTCTGGGGCCATCTGCTGTGGAGAACTGGGAACTGCGGGTGCAAGTCCCGTTTTTTGCCAAAGGGAGGTAGCCTGCTTAGAAATCTAGAAATTGTGTTTTTGTTCCCCTTCATCCTCTTCAGAAAACAAGAGTAAAAGGAACATTTAAGTGCTACATGGTTCTTCTCACCCTAACCAAAAGTATTAATTGCAAATGTAGACTAGATTGTGACAATTTTCTTCTTGAAAATATAACTGCTTACAAATTCTCCTAGGATCTTGATAAGCCACAAGGGATATATATGTATGTATGTATATATATATATGGAAAGGCTAGGGTGCTGAGAATTAAAGGAAACAGGAAGAGAGAATACTCTGAAAATACAAGATTGATTAGGCTGGAGGTAAAGGGCAGGCAAATATTAAGATCCATTGACTACATGCATCCCAGTGTTTATAGAAACTTTACTAATAATCATTCTAAAGGACCAACAGCCACACATGTCCTTTAAGAAGATTGTGCATTCACAGATGTCATTCCACAGTAAAATGAATCCAGCATTAGTTTACACAACAGATACAAATCTTAAATATGAATGATAAGCGCAAGAAACCACATTCAAAAATCATGTATTTATATGTGACCATTCATATACGTGACATTAGATCTGGGACTGTAGTTCAGTGTAGAGTGCTCACCTAGCAAGCTCAAGGTTCCTAACATGCCCGAGGTTCCAAACCCAGCAGAGCACAAACTTGGTGTGGTGGTATATTTCTGTAACCCCAACATGTGGGAACCAGAGGCAGGAGGACCAAGGTCTCTGGTACACAACATGTTCTAGGGCACATGGGCTATGTGAGAGTTAGAAGGACTAAAATCTCAAAAGAGGCTGGCTACCGACACCCAGCGATTTTTTCTGGGAAATAAAACTGTTCTCAGTCTTCAGTGTGGTGGCCTCATGGCAGTTTGTAACTGTGAAGAACTATAGTGCTTGCATCTTGAATGCTGACCCATCTAAAGTCCAGGGATAAATGCCCTATGACTGTTCTGAATGTATTCTTGCAGTAACTTGACTGAAATTCTGTTTGAGAGTTTTGTGTAGATGTCCCTAAGGGAAAGTGATCTGTTACTATACAAAAGAAACTAAAGACAAGAGTAACAGAATGAATTGAGAAATATTTCCTCCGGTCTACATTTATATTAGTTTGTATATAATTTAATATTTTGTTATTATCTGGTAGGATATACCAGTGAAATTACTTAAACATTGAGTTTTTCACTACAAGTTTAACTTCCAAAAGTGTAATGTTATATAGTTTCTCTCATTCTCTTTGAAGCAGTTTGGCAGTTTTTATTTTATAAAGGATTAGTTATCTATTGGTGTATCCATTGCCATAAAATTGTTTACAATATTGTTTCTATATTACTATAAGAACGTACATAATCTGTTATAATGCTTAATTCTTTCATACCCGATATTGCCATTTTGTGTCTTCATTCTGTTTTTCTCACGGACATATTTAGAGCTTTGCTAATTTCATTAATATTCTAAAGGCAGTGTATGTTTGGCTCATATATCCCATATTATAGTCAATTAGTGTTGTCATTGTGCAGGTCTTGTTTAGGTGACCATATTGTTGAGATTCCAAGGGTGCAGCTTCCCTGTCATATGTAGAAGTCACTTTGTCCAAGACATCCTGGTCCTCTGGTGCTTACAGTCCTTCCACCTCCCTCTCTCACAGTGTCCCTGAACCTGTAGGTAGAGGGGGCTGTGTTGTAGATACTTCACTTAGGGTTGGGTACTCAGTGGCCATTTGCTCTCTGCCTTCTGACCAATTGTGGATTTCTGTGATTTTCTTCACAGGTTCCAGAAGCTTCTTTGACAGGAGTGTGATGTCTTAGTTCGTTTTCCTGTTGCAGTGATGAAATGCCCTGGCAAAAATGGCATGTTGGACAAAAGGTAAGAACAGAGAAGTTCAGACAGCAGGAACTTGAAGCAGCTGGCCGCGCCACACCCATGATGGAGAAGCGGAGAACAGGGAATGTGTGCTACATCTGCAGTCAGGAAGCAGGGAATGTGTGTCACATCTACAGTCAGGAAGCAGAGAGCAGCGACGCATACTGGTGCTCAGCACCATTTTATCATTTGTACTGTCCAGGGTCTCAGCCAGGGAAAGGATTGGTTATGTTTGAGGTCCATATGTTTCCCCACCTCAGTTAAAATAGCCAAGATAATCCCACATGGGCATACCCAGGGGCACCTTCTCCAGATGATTCTAGATTTTGCTAAATTGACAACTGACACTAAGCATCACAGGTGGGTAAATTATTTTCACCAAAATTGGAAGATTTCAGTCAAATGTCTTTTCTGTTCCCCCTTCTCACTCCCTTCTATTTAAGATTCCAATTTTTGCACTTTCAACTGACTGAAATTGTCCCACAAACAACATATTGAAACATTTTCCCGCAAGACTATAACGTCTCACTGAGTGTCAAAATAGTTCGTCTGGGAGGGGGTTAGACTGAAATTTTTTTCTCTCTGCTTTTCATTTGAGTGATTTCTTCCAGTCTGTCTCCAAATTCAGTTTTTAAAAAATTCCTCCTGGACTATTTAATCCTTAAGATATTTGTTTCATAAACCATAGTTTTTATTTCTAGAAGTTCTCTTTCTCCATAAAACCTGTACAACACAGTGACTCCTTTAATGTCCATGTTAATTTACAAGATCTGCAACAACAAAGTAAGTCCCACACACTTAATGCCTTCAAAATAGTTGAATCAATTTTCTTGTAGTTTGTAAGTCTGGAAGTCTACAACCAAGCTGTGGGCAAGGACATTCACTTTCTTAGAGCTCCGGAAGATGATTCTTTCCGACTCTCCTTGCTTTAGGTAGTTGTCAGCACTCCTTGTTATCCCTAGACTTGAGCGACTGCAGACTCTCCTCCATCATCAAAAGGCTCTCACTCCTCATGTGCCTCTCTGTTCAAGTTTCCCTCTTCTTTTAAGTATGCCAATCCTTGGATTGGGACCAATCCAGAATGACTAAAACTTGCCTTCAATATATACATATATATATATATATATATATATATATATATATATGGGCTATATCTCAAATTAGATATAGGTCCTACAAATTAGAAATTGAAGATACCTTTTGGAAGGCATAATTCAACCCATACAACATCCTTGTTTGATAACTTTAGTGCCTTTGCAGGTATTAGATCAATCTAGATTGACTTATTTTTCTTCCTAAAATGAGCTGGCATTTTGTCTGTTTGGATAGAAGATACTGTAAATGTTACAGTGTTTGGCAATTTGTTTTGTAGCTACAGTGAATACTCTTGATATTTCTTATTAAATATGCTTAAATGTGGGGGCCCCAGAGAGTGTCACAGCCAGCAGTGAAACGATCCATGAAGAGATAAGACTGAAGCTGGCTTCAGCATGATGTAGATAGCTAGGCTGGTTCAAATTTCTGGAGTCTGATGCCAAGCAGTTTGTTTCTTTGTTTTACATATTACAGCAAAGTAACTTCGGAAGAAAGTTTCCTACTGACAATTATTACAGTAAAGCTAGAGGTATGACTACATTGTAACTCCCTTGCGAAGTTCACGGCCTTTGCAGAGCACCTGTGACCTCTTCTACAAGAATGGGTTCCTTTGACTTCGAAACAATGTTCAGGATAAGGTGCCCAGGGAGGGAGGGTTTGTAATAAGCACAATAACAAACTCTTTTACAAAGTACCTGGGACATCTTTCATGAGGGTGTTTCTAGTGACTCAGAAGTCTTGGGGATTGAGGTGAGGGCTGGAGCCACAGAGCTGCAAAGATCACCAGCTATCAAACAACATCCACTCCAGTCTTCCAGGCAAATAGGCATCAATTTCTTTGGGTGAAGAAAAAGCCTGTGTGTTTAACAATTCTGGTGTCTTTAGTGCTTTTCAGCGAGCACATGGACGTTGTGCCTTCCTACAGTTAAATTATGTAAAAACAATTTGGCATTTGGCATTTTTTGATGATTTTGTTTTTAAAATATTTGTTACAGGTGACTAGAGCAGCATTTAATCTAGAGCTATGCCCTTACCTTTTCTTAGGTAAGACCTTTTGAACACTCAGTCAATGATCCCTGAATTATTCAATGTTTCAGTCTAGTTGATTGGGCTGATTGCTGTTCTGGGTCCTGGATAAGTGGCAGGTGTCTCCTCCTCCGAGCTTGGGAGATATACCTCTCTCCAGTTTTAATATCTTCACATGTGTGTAATAGTTAACAGGCTTCTGA